ATGTTCTACATTTATGCAACTTGTTTTACAGATATGTTGTCTTGGGTTGTAGCTTATCTGTTCATCCTCTTAACAAGATTTTTCACCGAAGAAAAAAATTTAATCCTGATGAAACCCATCATATTGTTTTTCTTTTATGAATTCTGCTTTTGATGTCATGTCTAAGAGCTCATTGACTAATAGTGATCATGATAACAAAGATTTTCTCTTGGATTTTCTTCTAAACATTTATATTTTATGTTTTTCATTTAAATTTGTGATCCATTTGAGTTAACTTTGGTCGGATGTATATTTAGATCAAGGTTTATTGTTTTGTCTGTGTATATCTATTTCCTTCAGCACTGCTTTTTGAAAAGATTTTTTTCCTCAGTTGAATTACATTTGCACCTTTGTCAAAAGTGATTGGCTATACTTGTGTGAGGGTATATCTCCATTCCCCATATTCTATTCCACTGATGTATGTGTCCATCCTTTTGCTGATATCACAGTTTTGATTACTGTAGCTGATAAATCTTAAAGTGAATAGATTAACTATGCCCATAGTATTATTTTTTTCAAAATTGTGTTATATTTTCTAGTTTCTTTACCACTCCATCTAATTTTTATAATAACCTCATCTGTATCTACCAAAAAAAAAAAAAAAAAAACTCTTGCTGGGATTTTGATAGGAGTTATATTATACCTGTATATCAACATGAGAGTAAGTGACTTCTTTACTATGATGAATTGTCCCTTTCACAGACGTGGCATGTCTAGCCATTTGTTTAGGTCTTTTTTATTTTTTTGTTGGTATTTTGTAGTTCTCATTATATAAGTCCTATTCATGTTTTGATTTATCCTATTTCCTTGCTGCCTTTTTTTAAGCTGTTGTATTACAATTTGCTTCCATGTGTTCATTGCTATAGAAATACCATTGATTTTTGTGCTTTGCTCTTCTGTCATATAAACTCTCATTCTGCGAGTTTTTTTGGTAGATTTCTTGGGATTTTCTTATAAACTACCTTGACATCTGCAAATAGAGACAGTTTTGTTTCTTCTTTTCCCCTATATATGCCTTTTATTGAATTGTCTTGCTTTAGTGTACTGGCTGAGCTTCTAGTACCATGAAGAAAGGATATCTGGGGCAGGCCCATTTGATACAGTGGTTAAGTTACTCTTTGGAAAGTCCGTATCCCATATCCAAGTGCCTTGTCTGAGTCCTGGCTTCTCCACTTCAGCTACCTGTTAATGCACATCCCAGAAGGCAGCAGATGATAGCTCAAGCACTTGGGACTCTGTCACCCACATGGGAGACCTGGAAGCAGTTTTCGCCTGGCCCAGCCCTGGCAAACTGGGGCACTGGGGAGTGAACTAGCACCTGAGAGATCTCTATCTTTCTCTCTCCAACTCAAAGAAAACGAAAAATAATTTTTTAAAAAAGAAATGAACATCCTTGGTTATTTTCTTTCTCATAATAATATAATAATGATAATCCTTTATCATTTAATATAATGTTGGCCACAGGTTTTTTCCTGCATACTCTTTACCAACTTAGGGGAGAACTTCTCCCTCTAGTCCTTTGTTGCTAGAAGTTTTTCATAGGGATGCTTCTTGCATTCTGTCAATTTTTTTCTGTGTCAATTAATATGACCCTGTAATTTTTATTCTTCAGCTTGCTAATATATATGATTCATATTCTAACGTTGAACAAGCTTTACATTTTGGATAAACTTACTTGGTTACAGTGTATAATTCCTTTTATATATTACTTAATTCCTTTTGGTAATTTTTAAAAGAATTTTTACATCTATATTCATGAGAGCTTTTTATTTGTGGCTGTAGAATTTGTTGTTGTTGTTTTAGTTTATTTGAGAGTTTTGGCTTTATCTAGAGCACCACAGTAATACTGGCTTCATCACATTATAGCCTACAATGTGTGGAATTCTAGACTTTCTATTGCACCTTTACAAATACAAGTGAGTGAAAAGCACTATTTTTTGGTGGTGTTCAGCTTTCCTGGTCTTGTGAGTAAAGAACAAGTTTTTTTCGTGGGTTTCGTTATGTGTGTGCCCACCAGTGCTTCAGGATTGCCTGCTTCTTCAGTTTCTAGTCTCTATCAGGTAAAAAGAAAACCCTAGGAACTAACCAGAGTCATTTGTTCTGCATGTCCCAGGGTCGTTCAAAGGAGTCTGCTTTGTTTTCTCTTTTTTTTTTTTTTTATGGAGGTTATATTTATAAAAATTGAAAACTGTGGACCAGTACCTTGTACATCCTACCATTTACATTCAATAAATATTAACTAGTATTGCCATATATATCTTTTTTTGTTAAGGACGATCTTGAAGGACAAGTATTTGACATTGTGCTTAAGATACTATTTGGGACACTCAAATCCCACTTCAGAATGCTGGGTCTCAGCTCCAGTTCTACTCCAGATTCCAGATCCTGCTAATGTACACTCTGGAAAACAGCTGAATGCCATGAGTTATTTAGGTCCCTGCTGTCTCCCACGAGAGACCAAGGTTGAGTTCCCAGATTTCAGCTTCAGCCTGGTCCAGTCCTGGCTATTACAAACATTTAGAGAGTGAACCAGAGAATGGTAGATCTCTATTTGTCTGTCTGCTTCTTTCTCTACCTCTCTCTTCCTTTCAAATAAAATAAAATTAACATTTTTAAAAAGATCTTAAATTGTCATGGTAACTTTGGGCCCATACATTTATGATTGGATCTTATGAGCACTAAATTTACTTTTTGGGCTTTTATTTGATATTAAAATTGAGTGTTAAAATTGTATTAAAAAGAACATGGACTTTGAGTGAAACAAGCATATGTCTATTAGTTCTGTGTTCCTAGGCAGATTATTGAATCTGAACCTCCAATTGCTATATTGGAAAAAGTCATTAGTAATACTAATCATAAAGGATTATTATAAGCATTGAATGAGATCTCTACAAAATACTTACTATTAATCCTGATACCTCTGGCTTCTTATATTATTAAACAGCTATAAAAGTTTAGAATTTCTACCCATTTGTTAGCCTATGTTTACTTGTTGACAGAAATGGGAGTTTAACTTTATACCATTGTTCTCCAATTTATTGGTTTAAAGTAAAAAAAAAAAAGCTTTGTGATATGAATATATATACTGAATTAATTTCTTGAACTTTATTTGAGGCAGAGAGACAGATCCACAGATAATGCCACATCTGCTGGTTCACTCTCAAATGCCTGAAACAGCCAGGACTAGGTCAGAGTGGCAACTGGGAGCTCAGAATCCAACCCAGGTCTCCCACGTGGGTGGCAGTAGCCCAATTACATGAACCAATACTCCCAGACTCTGCATTATTGGCAGAGGCAGGCATCAAATCCACACATTTCTGTATGGGACACAAGTATCTTAAATAGCATCTGAACTATTAATCCAAATGCCTGCCCTGCACATACCAACATTAGATGTTGTAAGAATTTCCCACTTTTCTCCTCAGTGTCTTAATATGCTCAAGATTTTTCCTAAAACAAAGCATGATGTTTCCCACGTCTACATGCTCTTTAATCCCCCCACCTTGCTGAACTTCTTAAAATAATTTATTCAAATTGTGCCCACTGTGTTGTCTTTAATTTATAATCCATTCTCTCCCCACTGTAACAATAAATCATCAGTGACTTCTTTTCATCCATTACCTTACCTAATCTTTCAATACGGTGTAATAAAAAAAAAAACTATATTGTTCATCTAACCAGTCAGACCTTCAGATTACTTCAGCCACAGCTGTCATCTGACTATGGCATATGAAAGCCCCCAAGCAGGAACCGTTAGCAAAACTCTTAAGCCACTAAGTTTTGGCATGATGTCAAGGCAATAAAAAGCAGAACAGAAATGGACTAGGCAATTAATGTTCCCTATTAGCCCTAAATCCCAGTCATCTTTTCTGTTTCCCACTTCTTTGCTTTGGGTGTTGCAACTTTTATGTCTGTAGCTGAAATTTGCAGTTAGAGAAATTCATAATTATCTGGTGATTAACCATCTTGAATTCCTAACTTCATATTTAAAAAGCTTTTCTTAATAAAGTTATTGGGCCGGCGCAACAGCTCACTAGGCTAATCCTCCGCCTTGCGGCACCGGCACACCGGGTTCTAGTCCCGGTCGGGGCGCCGGATTCTGTCCCGGTTGCCCCTCTTCCAGTCCAGCTCTCTGCTGTGGCCAGGGAGTGCAGTGGAGGATGGCCCAAGTACTTGGGCCCTGCACCCCATGGGAGACCAGGAGAAGCACCTGGCTCCTGCCATCGGATCAGCGCGGTGCACTGGCCGCAGCGCGCCGGCCGCGGCGGCCATTGGAGTGTGAACCAACGGCAAAGGAAGACCTTTCTCTCTGTCTCTCTCTCTCACTATCCACTCTGCCTGTCAAAAAAATAAAAATAAAAAAATAAAGTTATTGGCTTTTCTCCTTCCTGCATTCAAATAGGCCGAGTTGGACCAGTGCTTGCCACTTTCTTCCTGGCTAATGGCCATGACTACCTAATACAACATAACAATGATCTTTTTCACCTAATTATTTTTAAAAGTATAATTTTGGAAAACATATAGTCTATGATTCTAGTTCAACATATTAACAGCTGTTTTGCTACCAAAAGAAAATTGATTATAGGAGAATGGGTGATTTGGGAATTTGTTCAAATAATAACTAGAAATATTACTTCTTATGTGAGACAGTAAGATCAGTTTTGTAGTGAGATCTTTTATGAGCAATGTATTTGTACAACTTATAGTTTGTGATTCAACACTATTATGTAGCCTTGAGTGTTAGACCTTAATAATATGATTTTTATTCTAATGAGCTAAACATTCATGTAAATTAAAGAGATTTATTATTAAATGTAATGCAAGCAAATCTTTAGAACAAGATTTACTATATTATGATTGTTCTTCATATTTTTGTAAAATTGTCACTAACAGGGCAAATTCTGGAGTTTAAGTTTTTCATTAGGTCTCTACTATTTGGTGATTTTTTTTTTCCCCTCTAGTTCTAAGAACAGATGAAACTGGCTATGGATAATTCATATGATTTCAACCAGCGAACCTCATGCAATGGAATTCCATCTGAGAAGAAAAACAACTTACTTGTGTCAGAAGATCATGGCCAGAAAATTTTAAGTGTACTACAGAATTTTAGAGAACAAAATATCTTTTATGATTTCAAAATAATCATGAAGGATGAAATAATTCCTTGTCATCGTTGTGTGTTAGCAGCATGCAGTGACTTTTTCAGGTACTTTACCTTGTCTGTGCCTCATATTTTATAATATGTTTTATAAGTACACACAATTTGCCCCCACAGCAGTATGACAGTAATTTTTAGTTCTTAAAGAAAAATCAATTGGAACCAGCAATAGCAACTTTGAAGCAGCATAATTTTTTAAAAGATTTATTTTATTTATTAGATAGAGAGGGAGAGGATGAGGGAAAGGGAGAGGGAGAGGGAGAGGGAGAGCAAGAGAATCTTCCATCCACTGGTTCACTCCCCAAATGGCCGCAATGGCTGGAGCTGAGCCAATCTGACGTCAGGAGCCAGGAGCTTCCTCTAGTTTTCCCACTTGGGTGCAGGGGCCCAAGAACTTGGGCCATCTTCTGCTGGGAAGCAGCATAATTTAAAACTGCACTTTTAAAGGCATGAGTCTCCCTAGACAATCATTTCCCAAAGTTCCATGGAACATTAGTCCTTTGAAATATTCTAGAGGAAAAATTGCTTTTGATCAGTGATTAGCTTTGCTGAAGGTGGGGTGTGGTGTCTGTACACTATATCATTTTAGAAAAAGAAGAACAAGTTGGACAAAATGCAAAAAAGAGTTTCAAAGAAAATAAGGTGGAGAGAAAATTTCAGTTAGGTACTGTACCTATTTAATATCCAAGGAGGAGGAACTCTAACCCAGATAATTTTTAAATTTCTCTCTTCTTTGACAAAGATATGTGTATGGTAAGGTAAATTTCTATAGCTAAAAATATTTCTTTAGAGCATTCAACTGTTCTGATGCTAAAGAACTTTCTTAATATAATTTAATTTCCCTTGTAGATCACCCTATAGGAAATGCTCTAGTGATGACACTGCAAGAATCCACCATGATCCAGCAAGTTTCAGATCCTACAAATTTAAAGGTCAAACACAAGACCTAATAATGCTATGGTAATTATACCAAGCTGATACCATCTTGTGAGCACGCTTGATCAGTAGACAGACAAGCCTACCTTCATGTCTCACAGGCCTTCAGTCCCCATAGTCATACTGCAATGGACCTAAATCCTAATTGCAGTATTTTGCATTATATTCAATATTGGAAGCAATTTTACATTGAAGGAAACTTGTTTTGAATCTCTAGTAATAAACTTGATAAAAACAGATAAATTCAAGTTAATTTATACTGGTTTTAATCCATAATTTAACCTCTATTGTTCTACCAAGATCTAATTATAACTTACCTTTGTTGACAATAGAATATTTCTTATACATTGGATTTCAATAAACCAACATTTGTTGATATTTACTACCTACTCAAAACCTGCCTCTGTAGGATTTCTTACATTGAATTTAGGAGCATTTGCTCAGTGTTGTACCGCAGTTTACTGGTGATACTTCAGCTACAACAGTCTTGAACTAGTTGTTTGCCTAATGAAACTATTCTTTTGTTGTCAGATAGTCTTATTCTCCTTTGAAATCCCTTTGGATCTTAAGTGTTTTTATACTCTGCCACTATCATATTCTACTTGTATCATACTTCCTCTTTTCTAAACTGATTTTTCTTCCATGTAAATCTTTCCTTCTCCTTTACCCTTCATGTCACCTCTTCTTCACAGCAAGCTATGCAATCTAATGTTTAAGGACTTGGTCTCTTAAGGTATATTCTCTAAATCTAAACACAACTCTACCATTTATTAGATATATGACCTTAGGTAAGTTACTTTACCTCTTTAGGCTACAGTTTCCTTGTCTATTAAAAAAAAGGCTAATAAATAAAAAAACTAACTCATAGGTCATTATGAAGGGCAAATGAAATAATTTATAAGTAATGATTAGCACAGTGCCCACTACATTTAATTAATATTAGCTACTATGAATATTAATAGTATTTCCTAATATAGCAAAAATGGAAATAATCTAGTGTGAATAAATAGCTGGATTTTGCTATAATGTTTTCATGCTGATAAGAGGTTCATGTGGCAGTTGGATTTGTAGACTTCTTGTTAAAGTTATTTTTAATTAATTGTATATGTACATAGTTTTTGCCCATAATAATTTGTTCAGCATAATCCTAGTTTTTTATTGGTCTGCTTTTAATTTTCAAAATTATTGTTAAAACAATGTTATTTTCTACTTGTTTTAAAGAAAAAATGGCATATCCTTTATTATCAATAGTAGTTTAGCAAATGAGTACACAGTTCACATAAAAGATATATAAATGTGGTTAGAATTTGACAAATTACATTCTTTTATGATAACTTCACTAATTTATTATATAAAATTCAGTCATTGGATAACTGGAAGGAAAATGTAAAATAAAATGTTAGAAAAGTACACAATGCATGATAAATATCCATTACTTTGTTATTTGGACAATGAAAATTATGATGGCTATATAAAATCAGTCACTGGAGATAAAACTTAAAAGATATCAAACGTATTAACTGCTTTATTATAAGATAAATTTAAAATAGATACTAACTGGATACTTTAAAGATGAAGTATAGAAATATGAACTTATATGTGCCTTCTCAAAATGTGGAAACTAATGATAAACTAAAAATACATAAATCCGATAGAAAACATTTGTTTTCTTGAAATAATAACACTAACAGCTAACACTTTATATTAGTTCACTTATTTGTTCCTTCCAACAATCCACTGAGATACTACCAGTATCCCCATTTTCAGGTGAAGAAGTTGAAGCACAATAAAACATTTCCCCAGGGTCACACAATTAATAACTGGCAGAGGCTAGATTCCTACCCAGCTTGTCAGTTCTAAAAAACCATACTCTTAATATTATGCAAAACTAACTGTAGATGCATTAATAATCTAATTGCCATCACAGGTTAATATTTTTAAATTGATATACATAACTGAAAATCCCTGCATAAGGTATCAAGTGTAATAATTTTCATAACTGCATTTGTTTTATTTTATATTAAGAAGTACTGAATAGCTGTGGGAAGGCACCTTATCATTCTTTTCTTGTGAAAGTATTTTTTATTCGATAAGCACCTCATTATTCAGGTGATCTGTGCTGTTGTAATCAATCTGGTTACCTTCTGGAGGAAACTCTGTTAGGTAAAAATTTTTCCCCCCAGAGTACTTGGGCATCTAGTGACCTTACTTACAAAGATGTCCTGAACAAATACTGGCATAAATATAAACCATTATTAACCAGAACCAACAGTAAAATACATTTTAGCCCATGCCCACACATTTTCCAGATAATCTATATTGTTGTTTACACTGAGCCAACGAAACTCCCTATTGTTTAGATTCTTTTAACTTTACTATGTGGGGATAAAATAGAACTTATTATGAAGAATTTTGAAACTAATTTCATTCAAAATTGAGGGTATATCGCTGTCTTCAAGGGCTGTTACTTATTTTTTGCCACTTGGCCTTGGTGTAATATACTGCTATTCTATGGTTTCATGAAATTATATTCCCTTCTCCCCAAGATGCTGGATGAAAAGTGGTTTTTTTCAGATGTGTGTCTTATGTGGTAGATTCATTGGAAACATCTGGCATCTCACTGTGCTCCATCTTTCATATTGCATTAGTGTCAAATCTAACATGAATTTGGAAAACATCTTAAATCCTAAACCCCAAAGCATTATATTTTGCATAATTTTAGCAGCATAGTTTATACTAATTAACCCATAAAGAAATTCTGCCATTAGAGAAATCTTTCCCTAGTTTTATGGATAATATATAAGAACAGATTAGTATATAAAATGTTTATTTTATAGTTTTATATTGAGCTAGTTGCTATACCTCAACTATAATATGTATATATATTTATTTTTAATATGGAAGTTATCTATTGGCAGTAAATAATATGGCATATTATTATACACATTAGGATAATTTATTAGAATGCTATTAAAATACAATTTTATGAATATGTTTTTAAATTAAGGGTAAAGGAAACTGCTTGAGGGTACTATTGAAAATAATTATGGAATAAAATATTCCTGTTTACTTGTTCTTTTGTGTTCTTTATTTTTACAGGGCTATGTTTGAAGTAAACATGAAAGAAAGAGATGACGGAAGTGTTACCATTACTAACTTATCCTCCAAAGCAGTGAAAGCATTTCTTGATTATGCCTATACTGGAAAAACAAAAATAACGGATGATAATGTGGAAATGTTCTTCCAGTTGTCATCATTTCTTCAAGTTTCCTTCCTATCCAAAGCTTGCAGTGACTTTTTAATAAAAAGTATTAATCTTGTCAATTGTTTACAGTTATTATCTATATCAGATAGCTATGGCTCTACTCGTCTGTTTAATCATGCATTGTACTTTGTACAACATCACTTTTCTTTATTATTTAAATCCAGTGATTTCTTAGAGATGAATTTTGGAGTACTGCAAAAATGTCTGGAATCAGATGAATTAAATGTTCCTGAAGAAGAAACTGTACTGAAGATTGTCCTTAGCTGGACTAAGCATAACTTAGAATCAAGGCAAAAACATCTGCCTCATTTGATTAAAAAAGTAAGATTACACCAGTTATCTGAGGAGACACTTCAAGACTGTCTGCTCAATGAAGAGTGTTTGCTCAAAAGCACAAACTGTTTTGACATAATCACGGATGCAATTAAGTGTGTGCAAGGTTCTAGTGGCCTTTTTCCTGATGCTCGACCATCCACAACTGAAAAATACATATTCATTCATAAAACTGAGGAGAATGGAGAAAATCAATATACGTTTTGCTATAATATTAAAACTGATTCATGGAAAATACTGCCACAATCACACCTGATTGATTTGCCAGGATCTAGTCTGTCTAGTTATGGAGAGAAAATATTCTTGACAGGTGGTTGCAAAGGGAAGTGTTGTAGAAAGGTTCGACTTCACATTGCTGAGTCCTATCATGATGCCACCGATCAGACTTGGTGCTACTGTCCAGTCAAAAATGATTTCTTTTTGGTATCAACTATGAAAACACCAAGAACAATGCATACATCAGTTATGGCTCTCAATAGATTATTTGTCATAGGTGGAAAGACTAGAGGTTCTCAGGACATTAAAAGTCTCTTAGATGTTGAATCTTATAACCCTCTTTCCAAAGAATGGATATCTGTTAGCCCATTACCCAGAGGCATATACTATCCAGAAGCAAGTGCATGCCAAAATGTGATTTATGTTCTTGGATCAGAAGTAGAGATTACAGATGCATTTAACCCATCACTAGATTGCTTCTTTAAATATAATGCTATAACTGATCAGTGGTCTGAACTAGTAGCAGAGTTTGGGCAGTTTTTTCATGCAACATTAATTAAAGCTGTCCCAGTAAACTGCACACTATATATATGTGACCTTTCCACCTATAAGGTTTATAGTTTTTGTCCAGATACTTGTGTTTGGAAGGGTGAGGGGTCTTTTGAATGTGCAGGCTTTAATGCAGGTGCAATTGGAATTGAAGATAAAATTTATATATTAGGCGGTGATTATGCACCAGATGAAATCACAGATGAAGTGCAGGTCTACCACAGCAGCAGGTCTGAGTGGGAAGAAGTTTCACCAATGCCAAGAGCCTTAACTGAATTTTACTGCCAAGTGATTCAGTTTAATAAATACAGGGATCCGTGGTTTTCTAATCATTTCTAATACTAGTATGTTAGAATGTGCTTAGTCATTCTAAAATTATTCCAGTTCTAGTAACCTACAGTAAATTTGTTTACCATAGAATTGGTAAAAAGGTCTTTACAGCTTAATAAAGTGTTCCTGCTATTAGAAAATCACTATGTATGTTTATTGTATATGAATAAACAGTTCCCAGAAACTTTAAAATATGAAGTACATTTTACCAAAAACTATATTGAATTTAATTTAGCCTTGGAGAATCCAGAATATTTAGTGTTTCAATGTCTAAGTAAAAGTCATTCATCAGCTTTCGACACTTTGCTTTTTAACATACTTTATCCATGAAAGACTAATAAAAACAAATCAATATTTCACATATTCTGTATAGATGGGGGAAATCTTGGAATAAAAATGTGTATGCTCTATATTATATGAAGTGAAAAATCAATTAGAAATAGGTGAGAATCCTACCTTCTTACTACAGGGGAAGAGTTGCTGAATTCATTTCTTTTATGATCATTACTTTATCATTTTGGGGTAAGAAATTTTTCTAAAATGCAATATATGTATTTCCTTAGTCTTCTAAACAGCACAGTAAATGTAATTTAGTTTTTTTTTATGATGCAACTCTTCATTAAGAGCATAATGTACCATGTTATAATGCCCTAATGCCAGTGGCATTTACTTAATGTTTGTAAAATTGCTGATTCTATTAGTTTTTACTATCAGTTAGTTTCAATTTCTAGCAGAATTATCTCCTAGTTTCTGGCTCAAGCTTAATAAGTTAATATTCTAGATTTAATGAGTAGTTCTAAATTAAACCCGGCCTGAGTTTTATTGTTACATAAGTATAAACCATTGAGTGTACTACATTTTTGAATTCTGGGATGTAAACCTAAAGTACATATTCTGTTTCCTTGCCAGGTTCCAGTATAATTGAGGATGTAGAAAAATTTGACCTTTAGATAGGTAGACCATTATCAGTATATTTCTTAAACTTTGTCCAAATTGAGCTACAACAAAAAATTTCTAGGATTTATAGTGCCACATCAATGTTCTATGGTGATATATCCCAATTATAAACATCATATTAGTTCACTACTTCAGTTAAATTACAGTGAGTTACCTTCTAAATTAAAGAGAAAATGACTGGGCTTTTAGTATTGACAGTATTCACACCTCGCATTTGTTTAGATGTTTAGCCTTTAACCCAAACAATGAAAGAACATGGATTATCCTTGTTCTCAGCTAGATGATCCTGCCTGGCAAGAGAGTATGTTTCTTTAATAAGTTTAAAATATGTAGATGTTTTAAGACCCCTGATTTATATCTCAGGTAATACATACGTGGTGGTTCTCTAGAACCAAAATTAGCTTCCTATAATCCCTAACAAATGTTAATCTACAATAAATGTATTTATTCTTAAGTATGTTCCTAAGTGGAAATATGAGGGGTCTTCACAAAGTTCATGAAAAATGCATGTTATTAAACGTCTATGCATGGGTTTCAAAATGTTTTGCACCAAAGCAAATTTACCTTTTAATTCCATTTTCCATGAACTTTTGGAAGTACCCTCATGCATCTCCATGAAGATCCTTTTATTTTACTATATAATATATGCAATCATAAGTTTCAATTTTTCAAAATTAAATAGAATATGAGAGTACATTTTCATGCATTCCAAATTCAGAGATCATATCTAACCAAATGACAGTAGCATGAAGATTATTGTGTAGAATTGATGGACTTCCTATACAAGCACATGAGTTGACTCTGTCCTTCCCTCTGTGTGTTGTGTATTTAAAAAGAAAGTTCTTTAGAGGCTCTTACGTGTGAATATTACTTTGGAGGCAAATGAGAGAATGAACATAACACAGGGAGTGATATACATGTGGATTTACTGAACTGTTAAGTATATATAGGATATATTTAAAATAAATATCATTTTAATCACTGGCTCTAGGAATTGCTCATCTGTTCCAAAAACAGAACTAAAGCAAACTCGAATCCCTCCCTGATACTGTTTCATCTTGATTTCCTCCATTATTCTCATTGATTATTGATTTATGATAGTATTTCTATAAATGTCTAGCTATCAAGGCCTGGGTGGCTCCTTCTGCAGCTGATTAAATATAAAGCAGAGGTTTTCTGCCTTAGTTCCTACAATTCCTGTACTTGCTACTTAAAGATTTTCACATATTGTCATTCCTTTACATCTGCATCTTTGTGTGCTTCACCTGTTACTACTACAAGAAAACAATTCAGTCTAATCAGAAAACCCCGAACTCTTCCCTTTTTTACTGTTTTTTGTTTGTTTGTTTGTTTGTTTTTATTTCCTGTTACAGCAGCAGTCTGTGCTGGGCTTGGTTCCATTAACTAATCACTCTAATTCTGCATCTTTTTGTAAAGGTGGTACTTTCATTTAATCTGTCTGCCTTACTGAGAAATAGTATCATCTTCAGAATCCTCAAGGAACCCAACAACACAGACCAAAAGAGGCTATCTCCTCTGATCTTGCCCACTATGTGGCTTCACTGTTTAATCCCACCCATCATTCTGGTCTCACACGCCATTCCGGATTTCTGACTTGAAAATCTCAGGGATCCCTCAACTCCATTCTCAGTGCCTCCAGAAGGAGCTCCTTTCCTGTCTGTAAGATTAGGTAAGAGAAAATCACCTCCTAGGCCTCTTAGTCTTTTTTTGTTGAAGTCTGTTTTCATTTCATTAAATCCTTCAACCAATGCTATAATGTAAGAAACAAAATAATTGTGTTCATTATTCAGATTGCTGTCTTTCCTGTGGAAAAATTGTTTAACATTTCTAAGTCCATTATTATCATTTTTCTTCATTACATGTGGATTATGAATGCAAAAATATTTTAATATTGTAATGTCTTCTAATATTGAAAGTAGTTGTATATGGCATTAGTAAATATAGAAAATGATTAAACTTATGAAATCAATTCAAAGTTAATGGACATTCCTTGAGTGACCCAAAAACGAGTTAGATTGTGAAGCACCTTTTGTTCATCTAAAGCCTTTGAGACTGAGTAGTATGAAGAATATATGTGTAATCAAAATTAACTATATTCCCATAATACTCAGCTCTGGTAGTGCGTGAGAAAGAAATCTTTATCACAGCAATATTCATTACATGTTACCTTGAGAGTTAGAATATTATTTGACAGTGACCATATACTGTAATATGATTCCATTTTCCCCATATACAAAGATAAGCAATTGACTTAAGTGTTCAGTGTTCATGGCTTAAAGGCATGCCTTTGAAAATCAGAGTCAAGCACAGAAGGACATATCTGTTTACACTTTGGTATTTGGAAGCAATAAATGCTTTAATGATTAAATATATAAATATATATACAATGCATGTTACTTAAAATCATTTTTAGTGTTCTGGAAACTCATGTGTAGAATTAAAGTATAAGTCTCAAAAATTTCTTCTGAGGGACAGACAGCTCCAGAGGACAACCTAGAAACAAGGGCTGGAATTTATAGAAAGCAGAGTTTTATTTAGTTTAAGAAACAACTTTACCACACTTTATAAAGTCATGCTTTAAAATAAGATGACTTATCAAAGACTGGCATGTGGCAGAGTATTATTAACATAATAATTTCCCTCACTTGATGCAAAACCAAAGATTTTTACATTCTATTTACAAAGTTTAATCTCAACCATTTTCTGGTATACTGCTAATTGCTTCCTCCAACTTATTTAGAATTTTAGGCATTCTAAGAAACTCAATTTCAATGATTCTGAATATTCAGAATTTCTAAACAGGACTTGAGTTTTGAAACTACATAATAGGAGCATTTTCATTCAAAGGAATTTCTTTATTCACTCAGGAAAAGTTTTAAATGGTGCTGACATTCCAAATGAGCTGCTAATTGGCCTTTTTCCTTCTGTTTGCCCTAAGTACATGTTTGTTTTTTAGTAAATAAAATCCAAAATATCTAAAATTTTGTCCTGAATGATTGTTCTTATTCCCTTGCAAATGTCATTATATAGCCAAATGTATAGATTTTAATTAAGTATTATTTAATTTGAAGAATATATCTTCAAAGTTTAGGTGTGGTTTATTTTGTTTGAATTTCTGAGAGAGAGCCAGACAAAGAGCTTTTTGCTCTTCCATTTGCTGTTTTGCTTCCCAAATGCCTGGAAGCTGGGAACACAATCCAGGTCTCCCATAAGAGTGGCAGGAACCAAACTACTTGAGTGATTCCGGCTACATCCCAGGATCTGTATTAGCAGGAAGCTCGAGTTAGGAGCCAGAGGCAGGAATCAAACCCAGGCATTTTATGTGGGATGTGGGCTTCTTAGACTCTAGGCTAAATGCCTTCCTTTAGATGTATTTACAAATGACATTTGATGACACTATGATATTTGACCAAATTTAATATCAAAATAGTTTAGTCACAAGATGTTATGCACTTATCAAAAATAATTTCTAAATCCTACACTCATATGCAAATTCAAAAACATTGGAATCTAATGCAGCTTCCAACCTAGTATAGAAAGTCCCTCTAGATTCTAATACATAAACTTGACAAATGATATATTTTTCTTTCTATTTTGGCAAAAAAATGGTTACTCTCTCCATTTTTTGACAGTTCTATGAGAAAGTTCTTTACAGTGAGGACAATTCTGCCTCCCTGTAATAACTTCCAGTCCTGGATGCTAGGTTACTATCTGTACATGCCAGATGTCTCATTTTCCTTCATGTTCAAATGCTTCGCATTTTAACATCTTCCACAAGGGCTGGAGTTACACTCTTTCTCCTTGTACAGTTCCTTCACAGAATTTCAGTTCTATCATTTTGGGGGGCATTGAGCCTGATCAGCATTGCAATCTGTATCATTTATGACTCTTGCTTCATTATCCATTCCCAGTGTACCTGGTAACTTAACCAGACATCTCATTCCACCACCTAGCACTCTAGCTTTCATAAATTCCACTCAGGGTAGAGTTCTCTGTGTCTTCCTCCTCTTCCCTCCCCTATCAACATAATCAAACATTATTTTGCATGTAAAAGCATAATTTTAATAAGTTGTTCATTGGGTATGTTTTTCAGAATTCTATTTTTGTGCTCCAAAAAGTTACAGAAGATAGAAATAAACCTTGGTAGTAAATGGGAGTGAAACCAGACATGACCCCCTAAAATTTATACAAAAATGTGGCCCTTTAAAATCCCCCAGAAGTGCTATCTGGGGTGCCACATATGCTACCGGAATTTGGGGTGCCATACGATTTCACCATATGCTTATTAATAAATCCCCAATATTAATAAGCCTGAGAGGGTTGTTGCCTAATATTTAGAGAAGAATTCTAAATACCGGCACAGATAAACAAGACAGCATGATACATTTTAGGCTTTATTTAGTGCGAGAGGTATTTAGGAAAGTGAAGGCTTTAGTTCAGGTTGGAGAGAGGGGAAAGTCTGGAAACTAGGGTAGCATCCATACCACTCAGCAGGCCAAAGCCATGTGCAGCAAGCACCTTGAGCTGCCATCCGCCACTTATCACCGGCAGCAAAGCAGAGAGCAGTTTAGGACGCTCCTTGCCTTTTTATATATTTTCCACAGGGGAGTGGCTTGTGTGCAGGTGGGCGCTCAGGTATGGTCAGGTAGAGCCTGATGTCGCATGGGGGCCTGGTGAGGGTATCAGGTAGGATGTGAGGTCACACAGGGGAGTGGCGAAGGTATCAGGTAGGGCGTGAAGTCGCACAGGGGCGTGGCAAAGGCGTGGTCTTCCAGCTCACAAACCTGATCATTTTTAGCCTACTTCAGGAGGACAATTTTCTCACATATCAATAGACCAGACTAATGGTAATAATAAACTAAATTTAAAGATTCATCTGAATCCAGTTGTTAAGAGTATGATATTTTCATTTTTTAAAAAGGGCCATAGTTAAATAACTCTATGAGTCAGGCAGTTTTGTTCATTTCACCAACTTTGACAACATGCCTAATCATAAAGATCTAATGAGGGCAACAAGTTATGTTATTAGTCTCAAGGGTAATAAGCTTGTTGAAATGACTTAAAGTTTAGTCTTCTGTTAATGAGTATCACTTTCTATGAATATTTCTTTACATGTCTGTCTTCTTCATTTAACAGAAAGTACATATGGTAAGGATCTATATTCATGATTTCTAGATGCAGCAATTATCACAGTGTCTGTCATCTACTTAAGATCCCATAAACTGATATTCAGCTGAGCAAATATGTGAAGCAAAAGATAGATGTTATAGTTGTATTGTTATTGAATGGGTTTAAGTTTAATACATCTGTACTTTTGGCAAACTTTTCATGTACAAAGGAAATTATTTTGTTAGAATTTTATAATTTAGAATGCTACCATATTGTATGTTAGTTATCTGTTAAAATACATGTTAATTATTTTTGCAATATTTTATGTCTTGCTTATAATCAAAGATTGAGAAAATTGCTTTTGATTGTTTATACAACTAACTTCAGGGGGTTTAATTTGGTATATGAAAAAGTTAATCAGAAACATTTTTGAGAGTGAAGTTGCATTATACAGTGTATTGTCCACTTTTGGAGAGCATGTACAGTAGATTGGTTGCTTACTGAAAGTAAAATTGTAGATTTGAAATAACTTATTCATCCAATTTTTAAGTGCTTTAGAATCATTTATTTTCAGAAGTTTAATGATAATATTTGTGGGGTTTTTTAAAGCAATAATGGATACAATTATGACTGCAAGTTTCATTATTACACATGCAGCCCTCATTTCTCCTATAAGAGTCTAATTCCTTCAGTGAAGTTCTTCCCACCTGGAAGAGGGAGGAGAGGGCTCTATGTCCTATCAACATAGGAAACTTAACTTCACTTCTCCATTTAAGGAATGTGGATTTTTGCCATATGCTATGAAAAGTCAAATCAGCATTTTTGCAGGTCCATAGTAACCAATTAACGTGTAGTAAAACATTTCAATCTGTAAAATAATTAATTTATTAAAAATGTATCAGAAAAATATATATTGTCTGTATTTCTTGTTATTAGAAATAAAAGCAATAGAGAGAGATGGATTTCAAGACTCTTGTTTTCTTGCCTCTTCCTTCTCAGATGTCTTGCATTCCTGAGTGACTCTGTTGGATCTCAGAACCACTGAGGGTATGATGGTAGAGGTGGGGAGATTCCCAGAAGGGGATTCTGTAGCTGGAACATATCCAGCAATAAAGCCCTTACACTGGACAGCCTGTTCTGAAAGGAATAGAGTAACAGCCACAGTCTTCAGGGGAGTCACAAGTGTGGAGAAACGTCCCATAACTAAGCTAAGAAAGAACAGTCCATGGCCATGACCCACAGATGATAGCAGCAGAAGCTAACCAAAGGCCCAGAGCCAGGAACTGGGCAACCCGCTTCACCAAGCACACTTCCTACCATTTATACCCAGATGCTTCATGGTGTAATCTAATCAATATAAAATACTGAACTACCAAAGGCACCCAAAGTCTGAGAAACAAAGCAGTACTATGAAAGATCCTTTTTAGTGTTTGCTTTGGACAGATGCCCTCTTTGTTCCAGGCCTTGTAATTTCTCCACTTTCTCTCTATTTTATTTATTTATTTATTTTTATTTTTATTTTGACAGGCAGAGTTAGACAGTGAGAGAGAGAGAGACAGAGAGAAAGGTCTTCCTTTTTCCTCTGGTTCACCCCCCAAGTGGCCGCTATGGCTGGCGCTGCGCGGATCCAAAGACAGGAGCCAGGTGCTTCTCCTGGTCTCCCATGCAGGTGCAGGGCCCAAGCACTTGGGCCATCCTCCACTGCACTCCCGGGCCACAGCAGAGAGCTGGACTGGAACAGGAGCAACCAGGACAGAACCGGTGCCCCAACCAGGACTAGAACCCTGAGTGCCAGCGCCATGGGCAGAGGATTAGCCTAGTGAGCCATGACGCTGGCCTCTCCACTTTCTTGACAGGACTCTTTTCTGCTATATATTTTTGTTTTCCTATGTGATGAGCTGTGGTTTACTTACTAAATGACCTAGAGTCCCAAGTCCTTCTTCCAGACAATGGGCCAGGCTGAACCAGAGCTCCATTTTAGAAACCCTATCCTTGAAAAATTAACTATGCCTCCATCTCATATGACTGCACAAAGCCAATTGTCTTCTCTGAAATTCTGAAGATCGCTGATGCTCACTCATTAGTCCTGGACCAGATTTTATTGCTCCAGAATTCCTTCTTTATTACCTTCTATTTTCCTATGTGCCTCTGGTTTTCTGCAGTTGCCTTCAAACATTGACCCATTCTCTTCTTTTTAATGCCCCTGCACAGAAACCTTTAATACAGTGTATTAAAATCCTAAAGGTATCATAGGGAAATGACCTGTCATCTGGTCACTGGGAATGCTTCCAGGAAATCAGAGGTCTCCTCTCTTAGTCAACATTTTTAATATTCACAGACCCAACCAAGTGACACTTGCCTGTTAAGTCTTCAAGCAGGATGTATACTCACCAATCTGATATATGGAAGTTCTTTGCATAAATTCTGAGCCCCCCTGGACTAACCACTTTCCTCCTACTACAGGAGGAAAAAGAAACTCCTCAGTGACAAATTTCAATGTCCATTCCTTTAGAAAATAAACTGTGAAAAACCTTTAAAAGAGGAGTTTGTCTCCTTTCTAATCACTGAGTTATGTAACACTACACTACAGTCTCTTACACATTGACAACTTAAGTTACAAAATGTATTGTGTCAAAAACTGTTTATAGCAATTTAGCCAGTATACAAATATTAACTGATTTATATGTATACCTATTTTTCAGAGCAAGGAACCCTAAAAAAAGACTCTTTCCCCTATAGATCTAAAAAGAGGAAGCCTAAAAAAACTCTTTCCACCACAGATCTAAAAAGTTTCAAAATGTTTATTAAATGTTTTCAGGTGTTTCAAGCATAAAAATCATGGAATTTTGAATTAATTTGGCACTAGATCAATCTATATACTCAACATTAATTATTTAAAACTGTAGATCTAATTATTAGACATTTTATAAAACTCATGTTTCTGCAATAAAGTAGCTTTTTTTTTAAGATTTTTATTTATTTATTTGAGAGGTAGAGTTACAGACAGTGAAAGGGAGAGACAGAGAGAAGTCTTCCACCCTCTGGCTCACTCCCCAGATGGCAGCAGAGCTGTGCCAATCCAAAGCCAGAAGCCAGGTGCTTCTTCCGGGTCTCCCACACGGGTGCAGGGGCCCAAGCATTTGGGCCATCTTCTACTGCTTTGCCAGGCCATAGTAGAGAGCTGGACTGGAAGAGGAGCAACTGGGACTAGAACTGGTGCCCATATGGGATGCCAGTGCCGCAGGTGGAGGATTAACCTATTGTGCCACCGGGCCAATCCCAAGTAGCTTTATACTTATTAAATTTTGTAATTTAAAAAATATAATTTATAAAGCTTAGTAAGCCTAAAACAAGATAGCCAAGTTAATAATGTTCATGAAAAACTTGAGAAATCTGTCAGAGCTATCAAAATAAAATCTAGGCATAAAAATTAAAGAGATCATCCTATTATTTGTGGTGCTAGATTCTGCTGTACCTGATAAATATTTTTACATTGCTTCTAAGTTCAAGGCTAGTTTAACTTGATTTTACTCTGGTGGTAATTAGTAAATCTTCCACAGGAAGTTAATTACCCTTCCTTAACCCAGCCAAAATGTGTGCTGTAAAATGAGTTTAAAATTTTTAATCAAGAAAAGCCTATCCCTGTGGGCTTTTCAGATTTTAAAATCCAATTAGCTTTAATGATTTTCCTTTTAGAGATTAACCACCCTTTTATGTGGTGAAACATTAATTGGAATTCAAACTATTTATAACTCTTTTTTAAACAAATCGTTTAATGATTCAATATTTTTTTGTTTCTTTTACAAACAGTATTCACGTTGAATGTATTCCTAAAGGAGTAAAATATTACCACAATATTCTTCCATTCAAATACAGTTCACATTTCTCTTAGAAGCGCAAATTAATATATACTCTTGTTTCTAAGATTTTTAGGAAAAAATTATTCAATGGTTAAAAATAAAACACCTACTTGTTTATCAGTGAAATATTGAAAGTCTAACCAATATTTTTAAGAGAGACTGTTAACCATGAGTGTACCATGTCAAGCGGTGGTCCTCAAATGATTCAAAAATAAAATAATCATCTGAAGAGTGCGTCAGTTAAAAGTGCCAAATCTAGGACCCCGCCAGTGGAGGCTTTGACTTAATTTTAAACTTCAGGGCTGGGAAGGAAGCTGTGGAATGCATTGGGATGGAGTTTGAGAACCCACCTCTTAGGTCAGACAGAGTGTGTCTGAATCTCAGTTTTACAATGGAAAATGGTTTAGAGGCTTGAGTGAGTTAATTAAACATTCTCTGTTCATTTATTTGTCAGTAAAATTGGACTAAGAGTTGTACCTTTCACAGAAATTATAAGAATTAAATAACGTATGTGACATGTTTGACACGGTGCACAGCAAATAGGAAATGTTCAACAAATATCTCTCTCCTTCTCTTTTCCCTTGTTTGATGCTTGGACACCATTGTCCTCCAACTTTTCCAAATGCTGCCAAAGCCTCTAGTTTCACAATAAAATAAAACTTTAAATCTGAATAGTACTCACATCTGCCTTGGCAGAGGAACCTGATGTGACAAAGCAAAACTTGGTCTAATGCTCAGCTTACTTTTTAGCACTAAACACTCCCTTGTTGGCTCAACTGCGAGTTTATAATTTGTTAATTTATTCATTCAATGAGCATTTCTTGATCTCTGAGTCTCATAATATAGCAATGAGACTATATTAGGTTGGGGGTATAGTGGCAAGAAAACCAGATGTATTCCCTGTTCTCTTGGAATCACTGAGCATTCTGCTGCTTCTGTCACCCTCTTGATTTTGCCTGGTTTCTGTTGCTAACACTTTCAAATTGGCCTCATTTTTTTCCATGCTCATATTTGCTCTGCTTACATGAGGATCCCTTGTGCTCCTTAACCCACAGCTCTCAAACTCCACAAAGACACATATGACTAAAGCCAGATGAGGATTGAAGCCCAACTTGCCTACTCTCCTGTGATCAAAGGAATCCAACAGTTCACAGAGCTCCAGAGTGTTCTAAAATGGGTAGGTGATCTTAGCAATCTACAGGGAATTTCAAATCTACTGAATAATTTATTTTCACAACCTGCAATGCAGAAGAATGTATACATTTTCAAAAGAATGAAATTCAAGAAGTTTCTTCTCAGCAATCTTTCCTACAATGATATGTGCATTCAACCCTACATAGTGTTTTATTGTCAAAGCCTTATATATTAAACAGAGAACTACTTTAACATAGCTTCGCCTGATATATTGAATGAGAATACCATTTCTCATGTGTTTCCCCTTCATAAATACTCATCAAAATAATACAAACTTGAGAGAACACGCAGAGGTCAGCTTATTGATATTAAGAAATACTAAATGAGGATTGTTAGTCATGTAAAAGTTACTTTTGCACAGTGATTCCTTTCATTAATAATTTAAGAGCCTTCTTTGATCCTGAGAATATAACAAGGGAGTGAAGCACACAGATACAAATAGTACAAATTCCAGGTGACCAGGAATATAAAAGGATTTTATACAATGCAGAGTCAGGACCTCAGTAGAGAGGGGACAGTTGAAGGAAAACTACCAGCAATTCTATAAAAGGAGTTATATCAATAGGTGCTGTAGACGAGAACTTACCAGCCCTTCCCAGCTCAGCCGACACCTCTAGCCAAAAGTGTTTTATTCTTACATATGGCCAGGGATTATAGAATCTATGTCATTGGGACAGATTTGTGGGAATAGGAGGTATCTAGATTTAAAGGGTATGTTGAATCCAAAGAAGAAACACTCAAACCAGTGGCTGGGGCCCATTGTTACAAACTTTCATTCTCATAGTGATCTTTCTTTGAGCAGAAATAAGAAGGCTGTACATAAAGACCCTGATGCTTAATAGCAAAAATGTGCTTGATTTCTGACACCTGCTATGCAAGCCTCTTAATTTCTTAAATTGGGGAAGGGT